TGGACAGCAGGGACAAAATGGACAAAATGGGCAATATGGGAAATGTGGAGAATAGAGGCAATATGTGTAATATGGGGAGTGTAGGCATGGGCAACATGGGCAAAATGGGCAATATGATGAATGTAGAAAATATAAGAAATGTGGACAACATAGACAATATGGGGAGTGTGGACATAGGCAACATGGGCAACTTAGGCACCATTAGCAACATGGGTAATGTGGAAAGTGTGGACAATATGGGCAATGTTGGCAACATGGGCAACTTGCGCCATGCCGCATAGAAAGGGGAGAAGCATTCTTTTTTCAAGCAAGTTTGTCTGTCCGTTACGCCGCTGGGAGAGGGAGAGAGGCGCAAGCGACGCAATCTACCGGCCAGCGCCCGACGTTCGGCGTCCAGCGTCGGGCTTCCGGTGTTCGGTGTTCGGTGTTCGGTGTTCGGTGGTAGAGACGGCGAAGAGCGGGACTGGAGGCCCATTTTGTATCAAAAGGAGAAACGAGACGAGGCACAATTGCAAGCAGATGGGGCGGGGTGTGCAAATGGCAACGAAGGCGCCCCAGCAATTGTTCTTTGCTCGAAGCCGGCCACCACCGGCGGCGTTAGCAACGCGTATTGCGCGCGCTTTCCATTCGCCTGCGCCTCTAGCCTGTGGACAGCCATTCACATGTCAGTTCAGCTTCCCCCGGGGGCCAGGACGACAGCGCCTTCAGGCAGGTGGGCTGAGCCCGGGCTCGCTGATCAGGTCGAGCCCGAGCTGTACGCAGGCTGGGCGCATGGGGAGGCATGGATGCACCGACGGACGAACGGTTTTGGGGGTGCCGCGAGTCGAATTATAGACAAAGTGGAGGTGCCTTTGATGGCCAGTTGCCATGGCGCTGGAGACTGGGCGTATCGGCCTGACAATTGGGTACTCTACTCGACCGGTATTTGACTCCTGGAGTCAGAATGGGACGCCGGGGTCTTAATTGGAGAGAAAAGATGGTGGAGTGAGGGTTGGGACACAATGTGCGCCACTGTGGTAGACTTGATGTATCCACATTTCGCTATCCAGAACGCCCATATAAATGGTATCCTTCTTCTCGAATGGGCATTCTTGGCCCAATTTTTCTCAGGACATAGTAGCAAAATTAATGAAGGCCCGATGTTAGACCTGTTTTAAGCTGCCTCTATTTGATAAGCCTGCCAAAAAATGTTCCTATACTTAACATTTCACAATTATTTAGGCGTCATTCAAGTCTACTTAAGCTAAACATAAGTAGTATATGCATTAACTATGCACTCCTGACTGCATTTATGCATGTATTTCAATTATTTGACCACCATCAAGCTCCTTAACATATCCATTCTCCAATTGATCTATATTCTCTATTAATAACCCATCTGCTATATTCAGGAAAATGCAATTCAAATAGGCAATCTTAAAAGTCGTTATAAAAAGTGAGTAGGTTTGCTGCCGGCAGTCTTTTCACTTGGTTTAATAAATTGGGGTGGTTTTCGGTATGACGATGTCTTCCACGTCAAGTCAACTTCGTCTGGCTCGAATGAGGGTCACTTGGGGACGGCCAAGCGGCCACTTCGTACTTCGTCTTCACACGAAGTCTGAACACTTATGAGTACTCATTTTTCCGGCGAACTTCACTGTACCCAAGCAAATGGATATGTCTTCTTTGGTCGTCCTGTAAATCAGTTCATTTCGTCTTTTGGCAAATTAGGATTTGAAAACAATAAATTATAAAGACACCTTTTTGCACTTCTCTCCACTTTACGTGTAGCCCATATTTTGGCCTAAGAGCATAAATTAGGTCTATTGATAAAAAATGTTTAAGATTAATAAATGATGCATTTGATAGCAGAATCAAGTCGAATGATAGGCCGCCTTTCAGTTGTCAAGACTTTAGAGTTGACAGTGGTCATGTCGAAACAACCTCCCTCCGTTTGGCCATTATTTTAGGATGTATTCTTCCAGTTGGGGAGCGAGAATTCTCGTACTGTACTCAAACCTGCTGTGATGCACACACTTTCATACTAGATGAAGGTCTTAACGGCAAGATTATCTTAAGATATTCGTTGAAACCAGGTTACTCTTCGTATATGTCAAAATATCAAATTTGACAGTCTATAAGCTCTCTGGGATTATTGTAAAGACTTCCATTTAGTATGAAAACCTATGATGAAAATATTAGTAGATCAATCTCATCAGAGGGCGATATCTGATTTCTGTTGTACTGCTTAACTTTAATATGATGTTCATGTTGGCATAGTCCACCAGACAAATCGAGCTCAGCTTTCGTTCGTCATATGACGAATATCGTCAAAGATGGGACTCATTCTTGACAAAAGTCTGGAGTTAACACAAGTCAAGAAGAGTGACTGGCTCTGTCCTACATGCTCTATATATTCATAAGGAGAGACAATTCGATATAAATTGATATAGAAAAATTTGTTTATTTATTGTATACTTGACTGTGACTGCCTATGTGTCAACGTCTGTATGTAAAACTGGTCATAATACAAAGTAAGTAGAGCAAAACTTAACCTCCGCCTCTGGTCATCTAGAATAATGGTCCAGGCAAAAGAATGATCGCAGTTGCTTTAGTCTGCCAGTAATTCTGGCTGAATTGATGAGATGCAAGCTTGTATAAATGAAAGTCAGCATACAACACCACCATACATAACCCATTATTTTGGAGCCATTAAGGTCTAATATTTGTAGCATAAGAATGGCTTAATTATGTAATCGCGTACGTCTGCTTGGGTTCATCAGCTTGACATGCCTATTGAACG